GTGGTCTCATCCACTCGGACAGCCTTGGGTTTGATTCCCAGGTCCACGCTAGCTGTGTCCAAGCTGCGCTGGTTCGTCTTGGCATTGTAGCAGGAAGCTGAGCGGCAGTGGTCCCGCAGCCAGACAAAATCGAATCGCATCAGTGTGTTCGCATACCTGAGCTCTGCAAAGAAGGACAGGCTCAGAAGATGCATTGGTGTGAACAGTGAGAAAAAACAAAGCCAAGAACCGAAGCCGAGAGCCCACAGGTTATGATCCCACTTATAGGGGATGCAGAGGCTGTTAGACTTAGCCCCTCTTTACATAAATTAAGCCAGCTTGTCACATGAGGAGGACCAGGCAGAATATCTTCATAGAAGGCCTGGCTGTCAGCGTTCTCGCCGTGGTCTCCCTTCTTACCAAGCCTACAGGCAATCTCATCCTGCAACAGGAAGGAGCATGGCTAACAAACGTGCTGGTCACACACTTACATCTATCATCTCTCTCCAGTAAGTAGTAAATTCAGAGCTGTGCAGCAGCTGTCGTACATAACGCACCCCCCTCTGCATAGTTGTAGACCCCAGCACAGGAATACAGAGAAGAGTCGAGCAAATAATCACACCAGCATCCAAACTATACAAACATTACAGACAACATCCAGACCTTGATGCAAAGCTTCGATATCCATTTAGCATCACAATAAAGCCTCTCCTCCTTGCTCCATCCTGGGACAGCTTAGGAATACTCAAAGCCCTTTGGAAGGGGCTCAGAGCCAGCAGAGGCAACAGGAGAGCCCTTCCTGCTCTAGTCCTACTCAGCTTTGAAATCCAAGTATCCGAGCTCACTCTGCAGTAGGAAAACAACAATATCCTTTCTTGGGGCCACTGTGTTGGATAAAGTGCCGAGCAATTCCCTGTGCTTACAAGTGACTCAGAGTACCAACATTTAACTACTTCATCAGGCGTCTCCGGACGCTGGACCAAACCAAACAAGCCATGAGGAAACACGTGCATCAGTTGCCAAGTCACCTCCAAAACCAAAAGGGCAAAAATCAGCATTAGACAGCATTTGTAACTGGCTTGCTGCGTTACTTCGCATTAAGACGTGCTCTCCTTGCTTTTTCTTTAAGTGGTCTCACGGTGAAGTACAATTTGCATCAAAAAGGCTTTTATGCCCCCCCCAGCACCCCCCGCCTCCTGCTGCTCATGCCATCCAGCCACACAAACAGACAGGCTGCTTGCAAACCTGCTCTAACAACTGTGCTTCGCACATCAGTGTTTCAAGGAAACCCTGCACAAGTAGGGGCAGGAGAGCAGGGCACACACCAAACCAGCCATCCCACCTGCCGGTCAGAGCCCCGAGCGTTACACAGAGAAGTGACTCACAGGGCAAGGCTCAGATGCAGTTATTGTTCAGAAATCCCTTGATTTGATTTCTGATTTAGCATTGCCTTGTTTATCATAAAAGTCTTGCCACCGGCAGACAAACCTGCTCCGTCCTGCCTTTGGGAATTCCCAAAGGGGACATGAAACACAGACTCCAGCGTGCACCCCTCTAACGCAGGCCACTGCAGAAGAAAAAAAAAATCACTCCCGGGGAACAACGTCAGGAAAATCTCACTCCTCTCCCCAAACAGACTCACAAGCAGGTACACAAGCACCCAACACACCTACCTAGATGGTCACCGTGTAACTGCCAGGCACACTTGAGGGACTCTGGGGCCGTGTGATGCCAGCGAGCCGCAGCGGTGAGGACGGTCCTTCTGTCACAGGGCAGCCACGGCGAGCGATGTCTAGTGCTTCCACTCAGCTGGCACGGCACCTTGAACAGACACGCCAGGCTCCTGCACCACATCCTGAGCAGCCGGGAGAGAGGGGGTGGGGGGGGGAAGAACAAGGTGACTCGGCTGTGCTACTGCACCAAATCCCCGTCTCCATCTCTGCGCTCTTACGCCGGGCACCGTAAGCGCTTCTGGGAAAGCTGGTATCATCCTCCACAACTGTAGTTTACTGACCAAAGAGGTGAGTGAGAACTAGTCCATTGAGGAGGAAGAAAAGAAGCGGGCACGATGACTGGCAGCCTGGCCAGAGGAGAGAGTCACCTACCTCCCGGGCACCACCGGGACATGAAAAAAATAACTAAACACAGAGTTTGGAGGGTCTCGTGTTAAACGCCTTCGCTGCCAAGTCCGAGTACCGGCATCACTTTTGCATTCTCCCGGTGACAACAGAGTCAGGCACGCTGCCGAGCTTTTTCCAGCACCTACAATCCATGCTTATTGTTAACAACACACAGACCACGCAGCAGCCTCCACGGACCCGGGTGCTTTACCCTTGTCTAGACCAGCTGCAGCAGATGCTTTTGCAGACATCACCGACGCCCCAGAGGAAGACCATGAAGTTGCACGTGAAAACTGGCCGCCCTCAAAAACCGCATGCAACGGAAGCAACAGGGAATCAACCGTTAGGGGGTCAATGAATTTTTTTAAACAAACAAGCTAGTCCAATCCCCGCACATCAGCTGGAAACAGAAGGAGGAGCGACAAGGGTGTCTTGCTTATTTTGTGACCACCATAAACCACAGCAGAAAATAGTCCTGAGAAGAAACAAATGAGATCCTAGGATTTATCGGGCAGAGCAATTCCAGAAGAGACAGCTGCGCGTTCGATGCTCTTGTGCAAAACGCTGGCAAAACCTCATCTGCCGCAGGTCTTGTCCCCTCTCCGGCCTTCCCAGTTTGAATTCACCATTCCTGGACAGAACTACAGGGACCAGGGAAGTAGAGGGAAGTGACCTTGGCGAGAGAAGCAAGAACTAGAGGAATCCAGTAATCAGGTCAGTTCTAGAAAAAGTATGCAAAACAATGAGGAGGAAGAAAATCTCTATTTCCTCTGAAGGACACAGCTGGCGTGGAAGACAAACCAACCGTGGTTAACCTTGGGCTAGAGATTGGAAGGGGGTTTCTCAGAGGGAGGTTTGTAACAACTCTTCAATACGAAGAGTAAGGGCAAAAACCTTACAAGTTTTAAGATGTGAAGCCACGGTCTAAACGCCCTGTCACGTTTATGAAGTTCTGGAGATCAGGTCTAAACCAGCAGGATTTTAACAGCGCTTTGGTCTGAAGCGCATAGGAACGCGGTATCACAGGATAAGACACAGACTCGGAAAGCATTTCTTACCCTAGACTTCTGATTTTCCTTCATTTTCTGATCTGAAAAGCACAGGCACTGGTGCTTTGGCTGCCCAACCTGCTTCTCCACTTCATAGCTGACTCAGTGCAGAGATCTCAAAAGTCGGTAATATCAATAAAAATCAACAGAGGTGCCATATTCCCAGACAACAACTTGCTAAGTAGGAAAAAAAATAAAATACAGACAGCCAGCTCTAGGAAAAGAAGTGGAAACATTTTCATAAAGAGAACGTGGTTCGAGACTAAGGTGCACGCTTTTCAGCCATCGAGTTTTGCAAGGCTCTCGGCCACAGCCTGCGTACAAGTCACTGACAGCTTTAGCGCTGCAGAAAGATTTCAGCTCAGAAGTTTCCGATTTCTATGGCTGCTAAAATGCAGTACTCACTCCTCAGCAGGCTGCAGGGAATCAGGTTGTCCTGCAAAGCAGCTGGTTTCAGGTCAGAAGCTGACGTTTCGCTCCATGTAGCAGGAGTGGGGGCACTGGGAGCTCCTCGCTTGCTGCCTGACACCTGCAGTAACTAAGATCTCTGCTAACACCACCGACCTTGCACTTTAAACACTGCTGCGAAGCCCGTGAAGCTCTTTATAGATGCTGGCTGAGCTGCAACATCCTGAAAGACTCCAGCATTCTCACTACAGACAGAGAAACTGGGGCACCGCAGAACTTACACAGCCTGAGCCAGTTACCGGGCATCTGAAGACACACCAGAATAGTCGCTTTTCCTTTTGGTGGTCTCCAGCCAGCCACAGGATCAGGTTTTGTAGAAATGCCAATGCTAAGTTCTAGGAGAATGCTTTCCAACCCACCCCAGCTTTGAAAACTTCGTATAGGAAAAAGAATTAGCCAAATTTGATATGCAAACTTAATAACTAAGTGAGGAAAATCTGCAGCTATAGAAAACCAGGAGTCGACTATGACGTCTACTGGCTTTACAAAGCTTAAAGAAATTATTTAGCTTCCTGAACTCGCAAAGCTCAGGACTATTCTTTGAGAAAGACACACAGGAGGGAAGACCCTGTCCAGTTTGGCTTTTGGATGTCAAGGATATCCACTAAGCCA